CTGTCAGTCGTGGAAACTCGAATATTTTATTATGCGCGCAAAGGGAATATCAATACCGACAAGGATATATCCGTCCTTTATACGATATTTTAATTTAAGCAGAAAAAAAGCCGCCGTATTCAAAAATAATGAACATGCATACTTCAATGGGGATAAAAAATTCAGGCGAAACTCTTTATTTTCCACGTGGATTGGAGATTCCGCTCGTAGATATTTATTTAAGATTTACTTCATTCAATTAACACTGTGTTCTATTTCAGCATTTTACAACGGATGAAATTGCGAGAGACTCGCGGGGTTTATTTTTACCTCGATACATTTTGAAGGGAAAAAGAGCATGTTCCGCCACAAATACGCTTTGTTTAACGCACCGATATAATTAGAATCGTGTCGCGATATAGATATTACGTGATAATATCCTTCTGTTCTCCATAAAGTGATTTCCAAGGCAGTCTATGCAAATGTTCTTTTCGGCCATTAATATATTCTTGAAACAATGTAATTAACATAAATTCAATTCGCATTCGCGTTTGCTTACTTAAAGTACGTATACGGAAAGTTTGTCCGGAACAGGAAGTAATTTCCCTTATTAATTGCTGAATTCAAAGTGATTCTCATAAAGGAGCTAATTATAGACATCGTTAAGCTGATTTAGTGCGGATAAAATTCCTCCCGGTCTGTTCCGGCACGGCGTCAATATGAAAATTCTTTAGAAACGCGCGCGGTGCTTAAAAGTCGCGGCGTCAAGTTCAACCGAACGGCTAATTATCGGGAGACGAATTTGGCGCGTGCGCGTGCGCACGCCGGCGTGTTCCTCTCTTCCTTCCGGGACTTTCTTCCCGCTTCTATTTGCGGACAGAAGAAGGAACGGAGCCGGCAGTTCCGCCGCGTAACTCGTTTCTCCGCAAACGGGTAGGCGCCGTGCCCTCCCGAGCTGCAAACGCGTTTAACAACCATCGATTCAACTATCGCGGGTGTTTCGCGGAGCGAAAGAAGGGAAAAGCGGTGAGATCGGAAATATTTCATCGCGCACGGGAGCCGTGGCCGAATACGCGTAAAAGGGAAACGAAATCCATAAGTTTTATATTTAATACAGTTAAAACACGCGCAATTTCCCGGACAGCACGTTACCGCGGCTGTGGTTGAATAAATATTTATCCGTCTTGTATTATAAATATAAAATTCATGGACGCGAGGAAGAGGGAACTGACTCGCGGAAGTAATCTTGTTGAATATGCATCACCTATCTTCCCTCCCCCTACATACATATATCTTATAACGTGATCATTCGTTTCATAATTCACGAGAAATCTGGCGCACAGAAATGTCGAAGTCTAATAGAAAAAGAAACAACGGTTACGTAAATGACGATATTGGGAAATAACTAACGTCTTCGGCTGCAATCTCGAGTAACGTTTACGCGGGAGACTTAAATTGTGGGGAAAGGGAAAAAAAATATAAGATAAGTTTCTCCAAATTGCCAGTATTAATAATAAAACTCCAAATTTCATTCGACCACAGCTGGCCACACTCGTTAATTAACCGGTCGATGCAGAAAATTTCTTGCGAAAAATATTACCTCAGCCTAGGGTTTGAACCTGGACCTCCTTTACTCTCTAGGCGGGCGTCTCACCAGTTCGACCACTATTTGTCGCAACAACGGTACAAAGATGATATCCTCGCGTCTGCTTCGACTTAAGGGAATGCTGGAGTGATTCTGCACTTTCGCACCTTTTGCACTTAAAACTGTCTGTTTCCTGGAAACTTTTGTGTAATATACAAATTAAATGGCTTACGTGTGCGGATCGAAAGCAGCTTGCTATTCCGGCTAGATGAAAGAACAATACGGCATCGCTGAAACTAAGTTTGTAAGTCTAATAAAAAATAATAGTGAGGAACACACATACTACATGTACTATCTGTGTATTGCTCACTATTATTTCTTATTAGACTTACAAACTTAGTTTCAGTGATGCCGTATTGTTCTTTCATTTAGCCGGAATAGCAAGCTGCTTTCGATCCGTACACGTAAGCCATTTAATTTGTATATTACACAAACGCTTCCGTGAACTGACAGTTTCTAGGTTAGAAAGGTGCAAAAGTGCAGAATCACTCCAGCATCCCCTTAAGAAAAAAATATAAGTTACCGCTACGTGACAATGGTGGTTAGACTTGAACACATTTACGGTGCACATTACGCGCTTAGACTTGAACGTGCAACATCTTGTTAAGCGTTTTCCTTTCCAGTGAAGTTATTTTTCCTCGTTCGATAACGACTCTTATCGGGTATACCATTACGCGCAACCGGAACAGGTTCGTTTGCACTGTTGCAATTTCGGTGTCATGCAAATAATGTGGTTCGGGGTCGTGCAGCAATGTGCAAATCTCTGCCATTTATACCAGACATGCAGATTGACTTGGCGTCCCCCTCCCCCTGTTAGGAAATCATCGCGATTCGTCCGGTCGCAGAAATATACCGCTCTCCGAATAACCACGGAATGAAAATTTCTCGCTCGAAAAATTCCCTTCCGTCAGCCTCTCGTCGGCATAGCGGAGCCCGTTACGCCGAGACATTTATCAGCTTCGCTAATAGAAAGTGACTTAATATGAGACGTGATAAAATTCGCGCTCGCGCTCACCGCAAAATTAATCCGCAAAAACGCCGGCCGCGCGTAAGAGTGTTCGCGCGGAAGGCATTAAGTCGGAAAAGAAACCATTTGTATTTGGCCGTAATACGCGAAGGGGGGGGGGGGAGGGGGAGCGATTTACATGGACGTAATTATGCGCGATCGACAAAATAGGGCGGGCAAATCGTATTACGCAAGTGGCAGTCGCCGTAACGCGATTTGATACACATGCGGAAATGCTAATTGAATTTCTTGATTAGAATATCCCGACTGTAATCTGTAATATCTGCGGGAAAATAGAATTCGATTAACGCGTATTCCGTTGTAAGCGACGGACCCCCGCGGAACGTATTTATATCGCATGAAACGCATATCTCACGGTCCCGCTGAGTTAATCCGTCCAATTAATCGGGCATTAAAAATGCAGGAAAAATAAGCGCGAATTCCCCCTGTCGTTACGTTTATTGTCAATACGCTACGGCAAAATAATACATTTTCATGTATGATGAAACAACATTATTGAAGCTCCTGCATTATTGTACCTGCGCTACACGGGCGTACAAATTATGCCAGTCGCGTGACCGTTTCAAACGAACGTCGCCGATAATGCGGTGACATTCGCAAATCTCGACTGACCACGCAAACGCAGAGACCGCCGCTTATGGGAAAACGCCCCGTTTCCCACCGTGCTCGCGAAAACCTATATTAACAATTCATTTGTCCGGCAACAGAGTTGCGAAAGCATCGCGATAAGAAGCTTTATTTAAATGGCCGAAGCCATATTTCACAACTTTCGCCGTGCGTAGTGTTCCAGTTAAAGACATGTGCATGCAAATAAACTGACGCAATACCCAACTAAGGATGCAAAACCCAGGATTAAAATTAGAACGTCAATCGGATAACATTTTATGCCAATAATAAAATATAATACAATACGAATCGGAAATACAAATTGCGATTACAATTACAGGATTTTACGTGTTACATTCTCCCTCGTACGTGCACAAGAGGCGTATCACACCGTGTGATATTACAATTTAGCAATTTCGGAGTTCACTTCGAAAAAAAGGATCTTGCAACTGCAGCAATAATTTTCTAGGTACGAAACAAATAACTGAAATATATAAACGAATAGCCAACCCTGCGAAATCGCATATGTTTTGTATTTAATCAATTTAAATAACAGAAACAGAATTTCTATCTGAATTGTTAGAGAATGTTAAGAAGAAAATTTTTCTATGATGCCCATCTGTATTATAACGTTTTGATTGTGTCACATAAACAGTTATATTCCTTACTTTGTGTTCCAGTAACCGAAATTCATTTTTATCCAACGTGAATGATTAATATTCAGTCCCGAAACCTAAACTTTCCAGCAGGTACTACTAGAATGTTGCTGCTATAAATTTTGTACACGGAAAAAAAATGCCGTTGAATTAAGCAAAATGAAGTTGCCTGAATTAAACGTTAATGCATCACGGGATGCCACAAACGTAAATGATTCACTCAATTCTATTTGCTATGGACTTTAATTTTAAGCATTGAAGTAAATAGCCAGATTATTAAGACAACAATTTGATGTTTTTCATTTATTAATACTGGTGTTGTTTCAACGATTTGATTTCAATTACACTGTTGATACAATATCATTCTTTTTTCCGCGTAGCTACAAATAATTTCCAACAGATACACAAAATAGTGACGAATTTTTGTTGCGACACCTAGGAATCTGCCTGCGTAAGATATTTTTTTGGGGGTGAAAGATTTTATTTCGGATAGGCGGAGAAATTTTTTAATGACCAAAGAGGCAAGCGCGCAGAAATGCACACGATCACATGGCGAGCCCATTGTCAAGGCCTTAACCACCAGCTTTCCAATGCGCCTTTTCGTAACGAGTGATAAGATCGTAATAATAACAGCCGCGGCGCCAAATTACGTGTATCCGGCGATAGTCGATCAACATAACAATCTGCGGTTATATATTACGCCCTCGCGTCAGCACGGTAATCACCATCGAACGGTGACTTTTCGACTGTTATCGGAACGCACGGGGCTCTTCCTGGCTTCCCTCGCGCCTGTCATTAACCGAACACTGATACACGGTCGATGAGAGATGAGAAACGATCCGGCGGCGATAAAGCCGCCGATTTATCAGCCGATGACGGATCTAATCGCGGGGGAAAAAAAGAAAAGTTAATTAGGGTCGCGCAGATGCTTTCCTTCCGGCGAATGCAATTATAGTCGGCGTTTCACCCGAAACCCGTTTCTTCCGCATCGCCGCCGGTCGCGCGGATGCATTTTTCTCGAACCGCATAGCCGGTTTCGCGCTGAATAACGATAGGACTTTAATGACTTTTGTCGCTTCGGAATTAGGAGGATCAGCCGGTGCCGTGGTGGCGTCTAGACTGAGCGACATACCCGAATGGAAAGTTTTGTTGCTAGAAGCCGGCCCGGACGAACCACCGGGTGCCGAGGTTCCCAGTATGGTGGCAATGTTTCTGGGTAAGTTTCAATTGGTCCCTCCCCGTATACACAGTTGTTCTATACCACGTACGAACCTCGCCGCGATAATGAGCATTTAGGGTGCGCACAATTTAGGGGCGATTTTGATTTTTACTCCGTAAAAAATTAATATTAAAACCATAAGACACGAAATGCGCGAGAACTTTTTCGCCCTTGATTCACCACTCGCCGCGGAACGCTTTTGTAGAATAATCGTGTTTTTTTTTGTTCATTTTTAATGTTCGTTTAAGGATGTATTACATATACCTTCCCAGCAAAAAATACAGTAATCTTAAAAATTCAATATATATCGGTTGTATGCATACTTTAACGGCTGGCTATTATTGAATATTATAACAAAGATGTTAATGTCACTGATTTAAATAACTTCAACCTCTTTTTATAATTATTGACAGCGTATTTATAAATATTCTTAATAGCAGTTAAAAACTTTTGGCTGTGAATTTGCCCAGAATCCAACTGCT